CCGACACCCACGGCATGTTTTCACTTCAGGTGACACTCAACGAGCCATGGGAGATGGCGCTTTCCTCAAGATTTGTCAGGCCGAGCTGATATCTGTGATGTGGGTGGTTATCAAAATTATGGTCCCGGTTTGGGTACCCCAAATATTAGTGCCGTACTATAATAGGCACCCAAAAAGGGACCATAATTTTGACAACTACCCATATCTGCGATGTGTTAGAAGCTTGAGAAAGGTTGACTGCAGCTGAGGCCGCCCAAGCAAGCTGAGGATCAGTCGACTTGTTCCGTTATGTGTAAAAATGTGTTTTATATGTGTGTGTGTATATATATATATATATACATAGACATTATGCACAACATATACGACTATAGTATAATGTGTTATATTGTATTCTTAAAGTCTTTCTAATGTCTTATAATGTATATATTAGTGTGCATGGAATGGCAGGGATGACTGCGGCTTGGACCACCTGCACATACCCACGCCGGACTTTTTCTCGCCCACACAGCCTGACATACAGGCCCGGCACGTGGGGGCTGGGTGTAGGGTTTGGGGGTTGAGGGGTTGAGGGTTCAGGCTTAAAGGGTTGGGGTTCAGGGTTCAGGGTTGAGGGTTTGGGGCCGGGGGTTTAGGCACCAAGGGCTGTATGCATGTTCATGTGCCCATAAAACTCTTGGTTGGAGGTATGCTTTCAATAAGTAGCGAACCCCTGTAGACATGTTGCAGCATCAGAATTTTGCATCTAGACAACAACATCATGCATCGAAGCAATACGGGAATACTGGCGATGAGCCAGTCGTTCTGTGGTGAAAGTCTGCACACAATCTTGTCTGGCTTGGTCGTGCACCTCGCATCGCTGTTATAACTGCCAGCATTCAGTAACATGACGGACTCGTTTCGCCCAGGCAGCTGTCACGTTCATCACTGACCACATTGCCAAAGGCTGGCCGGCAGAAGTTTTCATTATCACTGCTTCGGCGCCTAGCCCATGTACGGCACCGGCGAGACCTACTTCGACGGAGTGTAGTTCCGATTTTTTGTCAGCTGCGTTTCCCTGCCAGTGACTCCCAAACACGAAAGACCCTAGACTCTAGACTAGACCCAACGAAAAGTCAGAAGCCGTTCTGAGAGGCAACGGTGTTTATGTGCACTGCAACGGCGGCCGTGGGCGCAGCGTGGTTTGTGTTCTTTGCTACCTCGTCAGTGCTTCGGCGGAGCCAGTAAGGAAGAGAAGCCTTGGCTTTTGAAGTAATAGAGAGGCCTTAATAATTTCCTGTACGATTTTGGGGGTTCCTTACTAGAAGGATAGTATAATGGGTCCCACAACCCTATTCTGGTTCTTAAGGCCCCTATAGTACCTGACCGTACCTGAGCCCTGGACCCCAAGAGCTCTCAACCCGCCAGAGCTGCAGCAATGGATAAGCGCTAAGGTTTACCCAACAGGCTCCAAATCTCTAGAGCCACTCCGCATCACTATCACCCAAATCTGCCTTTGGTGTACAACCTGCGACACTGCTCGAAAGGATCATGTTGCTGCGAATGCTTGCGTTGTCCGCTGTGCTGTCTCAAACCCTGTGATGCAGGGCTGCGGGGGCCAAAAGCCCTTAACCTTGCACCCCCAAAGCCCTGAGCTTTGAAGCCTGCACCCCCAAACCACACCCGAAGCCCAAACCCTGACCTCCCAACAAGGGTTTAGGGGGTTTAGGGTTTAGGGTTAAACTCACTTCGTCAAGCGAATGTGGGGATTACCGGGCGGTGGTAAAGGCCCGATGCAAAAAAGGGTTTAGAGTTTAGGGGTTGCCCTTCATCTGTGCCTGCCTTGAGCGAAAGCCAGGCAAGGTCCAGAACCGAGGCCCTAAGCCATGACCAAAAAAACTTAAACCCTGCACCCAACAAGCATTTCCCAAGCCCTAAACCCTTCGAGAAGTGTATGAAAACCCTACCTTACAACCTCGTCCGGCTGTGTCCGAGTTGCGAGAGCGTAAACCTTAAACCCTAAACCTTACACCCCCCCCCCCCCCCCCCGGAAAAAAAGAAGAAAAACCTAAGCCCCACGAAGGCTCCGAGGGGATGACTGCAGAGGAAGCCTTTGACATGGTAGCCGGTAAGCGGCGAGTTGCTCCTGGGCTCCCAAGAAAGGGATGCGCGGCCAAGGACTGTCTGGTTCTTCGTAGGGAGGAATGGATCCCTATTTTAAGGTCCCCTTAAGGTCCCTTATAGTAGTCCCCTAAGGTCCCGTATAGTAATCCCATAAGGTCCCATATAGTAATCCCATAAGGTCCCTTACAGTCGTCCCCTAAGGTCCCTTATAGTAGTCCCTTAAGGTCCCTTGTAGTATAGTCCCAATAACCCCTTCCCCCGTTCCCTACGAAGAACCAGACGGACTATGGCTTAGATGCATTTGCGCACAGAAACGCGCGTTTTCGTTTTACGCCCGTATCTGCGTCGTGTTCAGGAAGGACATCAGCAACGACAGGAGCAGTGTGTGTGTATATGCATATGTATATATATATATATACATACAGTCTTTCTACACATAGGTGTGTGTATATATATATATATATGTATGTATGTGTGTGTGTATATATATATTCTTTCTACACACGGGTGTATATATATATATATATATGTATGTGTATACACACACACGCAATTACACACATGTGTGAGTGCATGGGTGCACAAATATCTATGCATCTATATAATGTGTATATTCTTATGCGGGTTTTCATTTGAGCTCGTAAGGCTTTTATGTAGTTTGTGTACGCATGAAGCATGTTTTGGGAGCTCGGAGGTTTGGAAGTTGAGGTCAGTGTTGGGCTCGGTGCAGAGTATTTCAGTGTTATGTCTGAGTTGTTTGACTTGTTGCTTGCATGGGAGGTGGAAGGGGTCTCGCACTTCAGGAACAAGGGCGGAAGATGGCCCCGAAGCCAATTCGTGAGCAGAAGATCCTTCAAGTCACTCTGGTAGAGCCAAAACCCTAAACCCCCTAAAAAGCCCTGAACTCGGGGCGGCTCCGGACCAGCGGTCGCCAAACCCAACTTCAGCCAAGCGACGGAGAGAACTCAAAGCTTCTTCCTAAGGCTCAGATGCGGGGGAGCTGTGGTTTGCACAAACAGCGCCTCAGCGGATTTTGTTTAGGTCTGAAAGACGCCAGCCGGAGGGATAATTCATCTTGGGGATTCCGAGCAGCATGCCGATTCTGCAACATTCCTCCGGGTTCAAGCGTGGCTATCGACACCGTTCGACACTGCGCCAGCAGGAGGGAATCGAACCTGGAAAGCTTCCCGCACTGTTGCCTGCAGCGTTCACCCCCATTTCACTGGTCTTGCACGAGCATACTTCCCATTGTGGCTTGCTCAGCAGGTGGCGTGCCGTGAAGTGTTTCGAGAGCAAGCTGCAGAGGACGTGCATTGGGGATTTGGTGCTTTCTTGTGGGTAAGGCGGTATGGGATTAGTAGCTTGGAAACCAGCAGATACGTTATTGTTACATAAGGCGTGCCGATCTTGAGTGCGTCGGACTTCAAGTTCGTCGTTGGTAAAGTTAGACCACGCAAAGTCAAGTGGAGAAGATGTCTGCACCAAAGCTCGTAGCTGCGTCGCCTGGTGAGACCCCAGGAGCCGGAAGACACCCTTCATAGCCTTCAAGGAGGAAGAAGCCTCCATCGACAATGTTGCTGAAAGCGCCTTGGCCGCTCCACGAGGCAGTTCCACGGCTTTGCCCTTTTCGGCCAATTCGCTGGGGCTGTCTGGGTCTCGGAGGGGTGTCGTACAACACCAAAGCTGGTGCAGAGAGCGAGAGAAGGAGAGACAGAGGAGAGAGAGAGAGAGAGAGATTAGAGAGAGAGAGAGAGAGATTAGAGAGAGAGAGAGAGAGAGAGAGAGAGAGAGAGAGAGAGAGAGGGAGAGAGAGGGAGAGAGAAGAAAAAGAGAGAGATGCTCTGTGCCTTTCGGCTTCCCATCATTCTCCCTCCTAAGAGCCCCCGTTTCGCGGGCGGAATGCCCGGGGGCTGAACGCGAGAAAGATGTGCGACGCAGTGTATGTCTGGGCACAGTCCATGGTCTTCTTGTGGTCCAGCTAAGCTGGAGACTTGTGGGTGCAAAAGCGCCATTGTCGGTGAGCGTGAGTATCTCAGGACAGTTGTGATCGGATGTGGTCGGAATGGAAGTAGCAAGAGGGACTCTCGCGTTCGAAGCTTCTCGCGCACAGATCCCGACTCCAGGCATTATCGGTTCCATTCATCTATCCATCTATCCATCCACCTATCTCGCTGCCTATCCAGTTATCTATCTTATAGCATAGACCAGTGTAGATGTAGATTCTAGATACCGCCAGCTAGACCTATCTCCCTCTGCATCTATATGTCTCCGTTCATGTGTTGTGCTGATCAAATATGTACATGCACAGACATGTATGTATACACAGAGGTACGCACATACATATGAACAACTCTGAAGGAATAGAATGTCACCAATAAAACTATCAGTTCATAATTTAGAACACCTTACCATAACAAGTAGCAGTCAATACAAATCAACAATTGCTAATAGTAGTCAGTAGGAGTGACTGGTAAGAATTCCTACTGATGAAGAACTCATGACATGTATAGAGGGTTATGCAAAGGAAGATCAATCAACAAGACTCAGCAAGAGCCAACAGCCAACATGGAGCAAACAGCCAAATATTCGTAGCAATGAGGAACAACAACTAACAGTTATGAATAGTACTAACTCTCAGTAAGAACCAAAAAATGAACATAGCAACCGACAGTAATACAGATTACATGCTCATACTGAAGAATGACAACACTAGCTGATAGCTCGAAGAACAACAGGGGCATCCGTGAATGCTTATTGCTGTGAGCTAACACACGCCATCTGTCTCTGTTGCTCGGCATCCGGATGCTATTCCTGTCCATCCTGACGTAGCCATTTTGGCTCAAGCTGTTGTGGCACAACTCCGCGGAAGGAGAGATTTTCAGTTAGATCTCCTCTGAGCCATGGCTCATTGCTCGGAGGCTGAGAGGCTCTTCGCGGTGCTTCGCGTGGAGCGAGTTTCTGAAATCTCCGGTTGGGACTATCACTGCGTTTACGACATTCTGCTGGAGTTTCTTCGCCACGACATTATGGATCTCGTCTCGCTGATGCTGCCGAGAGAGGGCGCCATGCTCTTCGCTGTCAGGGACATTCTCACGTTTCTCAAGTGCGATGCTGGAGAGTGCATTCTGTCTGGCCAGTTTTTGGCCCCACATCGGGGTGCTCAGGACTTGCTGGTGTCTGGGGGTCCCGCGGTTCGACGCATCCGGGAAAACTCTCGAGTCTTGGCATCGTTCACCCTTGGCTCGGGAGCCGGTCGTCATGGCCTCATGTGGTTACAGCAGCAGTACAGGCTGGCGGATCAGGACAGGGGTTATGGTCTAGGGTTTATCGCTTCAGCAGCGATCTTGTCGTTTTCAACTTGTTGCTGGTTGTGACAGAGCTTGCAAAACGGGCTCAAGGCATAGCGGCCACGATGGCCGCCCAGTTGTGGGATGTGTTGCGGGAGCGGGGGCTGCAGTCTTTGGCGCCTTTGCTTCTCGAAGCTAAAGTAGTTTCTCTCGATGGTGTGCGGGCGCATCGCGACACCCTACGAGAGGCTGGAGTTACTGAGCCACAGCTGCGACTGCTGCTTTCGGAAGAGGCCGCGGATGACGGTGTGCCACTGCCCGCGAGGCGGCAGGACTTGCCAGTAGTGCATAAGCGGAAGCGGGCCAGTTTTCAGGCATCAATGGAAGCAGCTGCCCCGGAGAATCGGGCAGCGAGTTTGCGACGATTGCATGAGGATTTTATGGCCCCATCGAGCTCAGGGCCGCTTAACAGTCGCATCCGGACGTGGTGCGAGTGGAGCGCTGCCTGGAAAGTCGCGCCCTTTCTGCTCTCGTATCAAACGATTAGCTGTTGTGCGGCCAGTATGAAAGCTGGCGGTTACAGGTCCTGTGCGCAGTATTTTAGCGCAGCCGTCAAGCATCAGGAAAGGACTTTGCAAGTGCCAGTCGAGCCCAATCTCAAGGCTCTCATACGCGATTGCAAGCGGAGCATATTGCGTGGTCTGGGCCCCGATCAGCTGAAGGATTCCTTCGAAGTGCCCAAGTTGCGGGCATTGATTCCCGCGACGGATTGGGGGATCGCTCCCTGGGACCCGAGCGATGTGCATTCGTGGTTGGATGCAGTGATTATAAGTTTGTGGTTCATGTTCAGAGAGGTGGAGCTTGCCTCGTTGCGTCGGGGTCACTTCTATCTCGAGGATGGCCAAGTGGTGGTTCTTATCGCCAGTGAAAAGAAGGACACTCAGGGCTCCCTCACGACTCGGAGCCTCACGTGCTCATGTCGCTTCAAGCGACAGGTCTTCTGTCCATTCCATGCAGCTCGACGGCACCTGCAGCGCTTGCATCAGTTTGAGATCGCACGCGGAGCCAAGGCCGACTTCGCCTTCCCTGACCCCTCGGGACAGGAACTTTCCAAGGCTGCTGTTGTTAGGGGATTTCGCTCGGTTTTGCACGCAGCCGGCATAGCTTTGACACGGCCAGACGAAGCGGGTGTTCATGTACAACGTTTTCATGGGCACATGTGTCGAGTTTCTGGCGCGCAATGGTTGATCTCCCTCAATCTGGCAGTTCATTTGGTCCAGATACTCGGGCGTTGGAGTTCCGCCGCTATCTGGAAATATGTACAGAGCACGCCTTTGCTGCAATTGCCCGCAGCGACGGCTCAGGCTCTCTGTTCCGGGGATACGGCAGTCAGTTTCGAGGAGTCCGCTGAGGTCACCGAGGCCGTTGCTTGTCCATCGGCGGCGCCAGCGGCGTCGAGCAGCCAGTCCCCGACCATGCAGGACTTGCTAGCCATTCGTGAAGAGATGGAGGCCCTTCGCAGCGCAGCCAAGCCTAGGGGGGAGACTTTCGTACAATCGGTGCGATCCCGAGTCATCCATCGGATCAAGGTGGACGAGGAAAGCAATCCTCCTAAGAAATGGAGGACGGTTTGTGGATGGCCCTACGGGGTCCGCAATTTCACTCGTGTACTTGCAGCAGAAGCATCGGATGACAAGTGTTGTCAGCGGTGCTGGGAACCACGTGACGATGAATCGTCGTCGTCATCATCCTATCCCTCGTCCGGGTCTAGCAACAATTCGGCCGATGCCGAGAGCAGTTCTGATATCGGCGAGTATGCCTGATCCTTCACCTTAGTGGCGCCACGATTGCGCTTCGTCTCGTGGTGATCGGAGGTTTTCGGCCCTTTTCGGGCGTAGTCTTTGCCTTTTGATAGGACCGGAGATGTGTGCAAGGACGTGAACATGGGCCCCCGCTCGAAAGCGTGACCATCTTCGTAGATCGATTGTGCCTCTGCATCGGAACGTTCTTGCTTGTGCGATTTAGATGCCAATCACCGAGCGCCGCAGGATCTTGACCTCACCCCCCTGGCCGACTCTGCTCTGGCCGAGATCGTCAGGACAAGGTGTGAGAGTGCTGGGATCGCCCGAGCTCCGGCTTCGAGTGTTGTTTTGACACATCTAGACTAGCCTGTGTGTGGCAGTCTTGGATCGGAGCGGCCCGTGAGAGGGCTCGCTTGTATATGTCACCAGCTGTGCGGAGGCGGCAACGTGTCGAGGCAAAAGGAGTGGATCGATTCTGGATCCGTTTTTGCCCTGCCTCTTGACAGCAATCACAGTGATTCCGATTCCCAGCTGGCGGATGAGCAGGCTTTACTTATAACTCTAAGCCGTGGGACGAGTAGCTGTCCGCTAGCGAAGCAAGGCCAAAGGGTGGTCTCATAAGGCGCGCGGGTCGAGGCCCGTTGATGAGCACAATCTCTTTCCATGGCAGTTCGGATCAGGTGCGCGAGAGTCGCGTTTCATGTGTTATCTCCATGACTGTCAGGTCGGTTTAATTCCTCACATCAGTGCGTAGGCAGTGTGATTGTGGATTGGTAAGCTTCTACATTAGCAGCGCATCCATGTCGGAACCATCGATCGATGAGCTTGCTCTCCAAGCCGGAGCCGGGGGCGAGATCAAACGATATTTGAGCGAACGCGGGATTCGCTCTTCTGGCGCTCTTGCATTGATAGCAAAGGACCAGGACCAATTCGACAACCTGATCGTGGGACCACTCCTCGATGGCTGGCGCCCCGATCCGATGCAGCCTGGGATCGACTTGAGCGAGGTTGAGAAACCAATCGCCAAAGCAACCCTTCGCTTCATGTGGTGCTTGGCGGTCGAGCACAGACAGAAGGCGGCTGCAGCGGCGACCGCACCCATTGCTTCTCCGCCGGCTTCTTCAGCGGCGCTTGGAACATCGACTCCCGCGGATGCTTCCGCCGCCAAGGTTCCTAAGACGTTACCGGCTGGCGAATGGCGGACTCTCATCGAGAGGTACAATGGTGTTCTTCTGAATGGTCAGAAGCGCATCTTCCCTGAGAGGGAGTTGCTAGGGGCGGAATCCGTGGTCGCCCGGGTTCTCCACGAACACCGGGTGACCAAACAATACTCTCCGATCCAACTAGGAGAGATACTTCAGCGCCGCAGCTTTCAATCCAACGGTGAAGTCAATCCACTGGCCAAACGCAGTCGGTCAACTCGATTGTCCGTCGAGGACGGCATCTTGCTCGAAGAGCCGCGCGCTGAGGAAGACTGGGTGCCTCGTGGCTCGCTGAGCACCATGGACGGCCTCAACAGTATCCGATGGTGTTATGTTTTGTGCGAGCTCGGCCCAGAGCTTGAGATTCATGAATATTTCGATTCCATGGTTCGCAAGTCCCGTCTTCGCAACAATCAGGTGCAGCGGTTCAAGGCTTATTTTGAGCAGGCGTCGTGGCGGCTCTGCGCACGCTTGAGGGCCAATCACACGTGGAAGGAGGCGGCTCAGGAGATCATGTCTGACGTCGCGGCGTTCCAAGAGGCCATGCTCAAGGAGGAGCCCGCGGTTCCTTCCCCCAATAAGCGCAAGTTCGAGGAGACGCAGCTTGGTGAGCATTCGTGGATCCCGCAGCCGAGGAAGGGCAAAGGCAAAGAGAAGGGCAAGACGAATGGTGGTCGCAAGGGCACCGGGAAAGGTAAGAATCAGTGGAAGTCGAGTTCGAGTTCTTGGGAGCGTCCGTGGCATTCCTGGTCTCGAGGTGAGGCCAACGATGATCGGCATTAGGGACAGCTCGGGCGGCCCACGGCCGAAGCGGGCCGACCCGACACCCATATCGATTCGGCAGATTGGTTCTATCTTTCTCAGCTGACGGGCACTGTCGACCGGGTGTCTGTGGATGGGGATACTCAGGCTGAACCGACGGATTCGTCGAGCGGTCTCGGAGGCGATGCTGGCTCAGGTCCGAGTGCTCCACCAGTGAACGAGTCTCCGAGCGGCTCTCCGGCCAAGCCGTTGGAGTCAAAGAGTCCGAGTGTCGCCGACAGTGCGTCTGTTTCCAAGCCACCGCTTCATGTGACTCTTCCCCCCCTCAGCGGCATCGATGACGTGATCATCCTTTCCATGTTTGATGGCATGGGTTCAGCCGTCTTCGCAGTGCAACAACTGGGGGTGCGGATCCGGGCCCTGTTCGTCTGGGAGATTGATGCAGCCGCAGTTCGGGTCTCGAACACATTGTTCAAGGGTTTAAGGTTTCAACGAGGCGACTTGGAGGCGGATGATGCGGCCACGGTCGCCCACATGTTGCAGCAGATGGACCCCGGTGCTCGCTCACCCATCCTTGTGCTAGCGGGGCCCCCGTGCCCTGACTATTCTCGCTTGAAGGAGGGCGACGGTAGGCAGGGCAAGACTGGTCGTTTGTTTCAGACTTTTTGTGATTTCCTTGACGCTCTGGAACATCACCTGTCCGATCGAGTTCTTCACATCATAGCTGAGAATGTGCTGATGAATCGCAAGGAGGACGTCGACTACTTCAGTCGCCGCATGCGGTGCTCTCCCACTTTGATATGTGCCAGCGATTTCGGCCTCATCAGCCGCCCGAGGCTTTGGTGGACGCGGCTTGATTTCGGCGTCTCCAAAACAAACCCCGTTACGGGGAAGCCCATGAGGTGGAGCAAGGCTCATGGGCAGCATCGGCTTCACATCGATCCTCCACGAGATGATCCGAAGGCCATCAAGATGCCCGGTCTGGAGTTCCATCAGTCCATTTTGGACGGCAGCCGCCGGTTGCCATGCCTGACAACGCCAGCGGCCAGTGACGCTGGTCGCGAGCCGCCTCGGAGTCTCCGCGGCGAGGTGGATGCAGGCACTCGTCGGCGGTGGCTCGAAGGAGGCCGCCAATATGCTCCATGGAATTACGGTGAATCATCCATGGTATCGTCTGCGGATGGAGAGCGCCAGCTGCTACCTGCAGAAGTGAAAGAGCAAGCTCATCACTTTTTCTCAGGCGTCTCCCGGGTTCAGAACGTCTCGCCCAAGGACAGGCATCGCCTTTTGGGCAACAGTTGGCACGTGGGTGTTGCCAAGTTCGTCATCTGGCTGGTCTTGTCACAGATAGTTCAGTCTCGAGCTGATGCGGTTCCCGGGCAGCCGACCACACATGATCCATTTCTTTCCGAGGTGTTGCAGCAGTGTCGTGCACGAGAGTTGCCACTCAGTCGAGGCCCAGACTGGCCAGTTTTTGCTTGCATGCCTCCCACTGATTCTGAGTGGGAACACTGGTTTCTGAGTTACACGGCTGAGCACCCTCTGCTGTGTGAGCCTAGGGTGAGCCGCGCTTTAGAGCTCGTGTATGCTCAGATCGCGAGCCTCGGAGAAGGCATTGACTCTTACCGCCGGTCTGTTTTGGCGAGCCTGCAAGCGCTCGTTCTAGCCCGCAAAGAGAGTTCAGATGCATGGTTCGCATCTTTGAAGCCTCATGTTCAAGCAGCCTATCGTCTCGATTCCCCCGTCGGGTATTTGCAGATTCCTGTTTTCATTGAGCTGATCCGAGGCTGTGGCTACCCGGAATGGGAAGCTTTGGCTTCCGAGTTGACTCAGGGCCTGCCGATGCTTGGCAGGTTGCGTCCATCTCCAGGCTGGCTGCCGAGATTGGACGAGAAATACCAGGAGCCCATTTCGTTGGCAGCTTTCTCTGTTCTGAATAAGCATCACGTCGAGCAGCGGCTGCAAAATCCACGAGTGGACGCGGAGTGGGAGTGTCTGCTCAAAGAGGTGATGCAGGAGGTTTCTGAGGGCCGCATGGAAGGCCCATTCCGGGGCACCGGCTTCCTGGAAGCGACAAACGGTTGCAGTGGCCGACGCCCCTGGTTTCGACCAGCTACTGGAGTGTCCTGACGAACACCCCTTTGCTGCCTGGGCCTTTTCTGTCGTGCAACAGGGTTCAGATGGAGGTCGCAAGGTTCGACGCTGTGAAGATTACAGACGTAGTTGCCATAATGATACGATTTCTGCATCGGACGTGCCCCCACATGATGATGTGTCCGTGTATGTTGCGATGGTGCGATACCTACAGAGCCGAGGTGAGTTTTCCATGATTTGGGCCCAAGACCTCCAATCAGCCTACAGACAATATCCTGTGTCGGAACCCTCCCATTGCTACGTGATCGTCATGACCCCGTCAGGACCAACTCTCTGGCGACATCGGGTCATGCCTTTCGGGGCTACCGCAAGCGTTTTTCATTTTAACAGGATAACAGATGCTCTCATCTGGCTGGCCAGGAATCTTTTGGCGATACCCATCATTCACTATGTGGATGATCTGGGAAGCGTGGACCCGGCCAGTTCTTCCGCGTCCAGTTACAAGGTGTTTGAGTCTTTCTGCCAGTTGATGGGTTTTCGCTTGAAGGAGTCCAAGGCTCAAGCGCCCGATGTTCGGCAGAAGCTCCAGGGCGTGGTCGTTCAAGTGCAGGACTCGGGCGTGCTCGTTGAGCCTTCGCCGAGTCGAGTGGCCAAGCTCTTGACGGAAGTCCGGCTCATATTGCAGTCCGACTGCTTGTCACCTGAGAACGCAGCCAAGTTGGCGGGCAAAATCGGCTTCCTCAGCACTTCGCTGTGGGGCAACATCGGACAGGCTCTTTCTCGGCCTCTGCACGGTCGCGCCAGGGGCAGTCGCGACGCCGCGCAAACCCTGAATGGTGGTTTGCGTTCTTCTCTCGAGTGCTTGCTTGCTTTGCTTTCCCATCCGATGCCGAGGTTCATTCCATACTCACGGAACGACATCGATGTCTCTGTTCTGTACGCAGATGCGTTTTTCGAGTTGGGCGACCGGAAATGGTCCGTGTCTCGTGATGAGCTGACGTCCAGGTGGCCCTCGAAGAGGCACTTAGCAGCCAACGGCTGGGGTTTCCTGTGCAGGCATTGCGGCTCTGTGACTGTTGGTCACGGCCAGGTTCCGCCAGACGTCTTGGCTATTTTCAGTTCGCGAAGAGCTTTTATTTATTTCCTCGAAATCTTTGGTCAAGCTATCAGTCTCTTAACCAACAAGGATCGCATTGGCAAGTTTTGGGTGTCTTTTTGTGACAACCGTTCGGGTCTGTCGGCCATTCGCAAGGGATATGGCCGCGATGAGGCCATCAATCGGTTCCTCTCGTGGTTCCACGCTCTCATGATACGCATGAGATGGCACGGGCACTTCGAGTGGGTCAGCAGCGGTGCCAACCTCTCCGACAAGATCAGCCGGGGAGACCTGTCGATGGCTCGCGCAAGGGGATGGGATGTGCTCTCCTCACCCCTCGATGGCATCTGGCCGATCGTCAAGCGGATTGCAGTGGACTCGGTGTTCGCCAATGGTAAAGCTGTCGATGCGATGTTGTCCTTTTCCTGGGCTTTCCAGCAGTGCTCCACTTGAGTGGGGACAGGGCGGTGGAGCTGACGGCTGGAGTGGCGGCAGATACAGTCAGCTGCCAGCTCCACATCAGAGAGACTCTGCTCAGCCCGTTTTGACGCACTCTGAAAGACGAAGGGTCGAGGAGAAATGAGCGATTGATCCCTCGATGCATTCATTGTGTACAAATCGTTGAACATGTCGGGAAGCACACTCGTGTGCGCAGTGACATGTGATTAGAGTTGTGCCACGGCAGCTGTTGTGGCACAACTCCGCGGAAGGAGAGATTTTCAGTTACCCGCCTCTCCCAATCCCCTTTGTCTCACGTGGGCTTCGCATCGGGCTGAGTCTCCGTGGGGCGGCAGATACAGTCAGCTGCCAGCTCCACATCAGAGAGACTCTGCTCAGCCCCTTTTGACGCACTCTGAAAGACGAAGGGTCGAGGAGAAATGAGCGATTGATCCCTCGATGCATTCATTGTGTACAAATCGTTGAACATGTCAGCTTGTTTTTCAAACCTCCTCCACGTACATGAACAAAAAGATATGCATACATGTGTCTGCAAGGCACATGCTACTACCGAACATGCTAAGTGCCCTGAGCCCAAGCCCGGAACATCTCCAGCCCCGAAATCTTAGGGCTTGTCGAACAGGCAGAAGTAGAAGAGCAATCAAAGCCCTTAGTAGCTGAGTGGATACACTTTACATTCTTTTGGGATAACATTACCCGGTATAAAACTGAAAGTGTACACTTTTTGGGGCTTTTGAATTCAGCGTGCAGGAAGCACGGTCAAACCCCATTGCTGCCTCAAAGGCCCCCGGGGCAACGCAGACCTCAGTCCCAGCCGGGACCTCCATGTGCGGGTCTCGGTGGGCCTTTTTCTTACCTGTGGTTAGGATGGAGGAACGGGGTATAATTATAACTACTATGACTACCATTCTTCCGTTCCCCACTAATCAGAGGTAAGTTTTTGGAATCTCCGGGTTGATTTAAGCTCTGCATCGGTGTGTTTGGTTCAGAGCGTAGGGTTTTGGAATTAGAGTTGAGAGTTCTATTTCTAGTGCGAGGTGTACGGCAACAAAGTGTTACCACACTATGCCTTGAATTTCAACCTGACAGCTGTCAGACGCTCGGGTTTACGATAATTAAGGAAAAAAGACCTGAACCGTAAGATACTGTAAAATGCTGCTAGTGTGGGACGATTCCTTGCCCATGTCCTCCACTGGCTCTGAGTGAATGGGCCCCGAAGTTTAGGGTTCACCGTCCCGAAGATCATGTGACAAACGGCCGAACTCCGAGGTCAGCGTAGCCGTAGAACCGGAGGAGGCGACGACGGTGGCTGAGCGCTCTGACAGCAATGACAAATTTAGTTCTCTGAAGCTTGATAAGACAGGTGAGTTTGATGCAAGTTGTTACTTTGCAGCTTGCGGAGCACGACATGAGCCTTCCGGTTGTCTGGTAAACAGAGGAGCAGGTCCGGTGCGCAGAGCACCACGCACGCACAGCTGAGGAAGGTTCCTCCGGAGCAGCAGGACACACGGGACATCCCGGACTCCGAAGGCCTGTCCATGCACAGCGAATACACGAGTAGTCAGTGCTATTCACTTTGAGAGTTTGCGTAGAAAACATAATCGCCAACACCATCGCCACCACGACTCTCACAGCCGTGACAACACCCAGGACCACGACGACCACGACGACCACGACGACCGCGACGACCCGGACGACCACGACGACCACGACGACCACGACGACCACGACGACCACGACGACCACGATAGTGCTCTAGTACTAGTATTTGTTTTCGTACACGAGTACTGCTACTGGACCAGTACCAAGTACTGGTATTGGTACTCGTGCTAGTACTCCTACTAGTACCAGTGCTAGCGCCAGTACTAGTACTGCTACAAGTACCACTGCTATCACTATTCCTGCAGCTGCCGGTGCTACTTCCACTGCCTCTGTCACTGCTACTACTCCTGCTACTTCTGCTGCAACCACCCCTTCCACCACTGCTAAGACTTCCTGGGATGCTATTAGCTTCCGGCTGTGCAAACGTCCAAACGACCTGAGCCTTGTCTGCGGAGACCCCGGGGCCGTGCTCAGCACGGCCCACCTAGATCTAGCATCACAAGCTCAGAAAGCGGTAACCAGCACTGTTCTGTTCTTCAGTTTCATCCTTTAGACATCGGATTCTGCGCATGCCAGTGATGGCTTTGCTCATGGTAGACTGGCGGAGTCCTGGCTGACGGGAGGCTGCTGTCCGGCGAAGCCCTGTGTGCCAGAGCAGCCACCGCTGCCACAGAATAACCCCACGAGCATACCAGAGGAGGCCGCGCCCTCAGAATTCCGTTGCCTGTCTCTAAACCTGGCTGATCACTCGGCCTGTGCAGTTGACTCCGAAAAATCTCCAACCGGCCGCGGATGTGGGCCACAATTTCGCCGCTTGCGCCGCAGCAAACGTCTTGGAGGCACATGCTGCGGCTTCAATGGAGGGGTTTTCTGGGAACTCAGCAGCCGGATGTCTTTGTGGCTTTGGTGCTCCTGTCTTATGAGAGTGACAGGTTGCGAAGGTGCGAACGAATCATCGTCATGTTGACTTCGTTTTCACAAACCCCCACCTCCCCCAGCTGTCGCTTGACTCAATGGCCCGCCCTTGTCTCCCGCAGCAAGAGTCCGGAACGTGGTGGGAGAGTACAGTACACTATAGTAGCAGAACCGCTTGCCATCTCTTAGAACGAGGAATTCCCAGCGCGTGTTTCCGAAGTCTTGAGGATAAGCAGAGGGTGTTACCAACATGAAGTCGAGGTTGCATGTGCCAGTTCGGGGTTGGCTGGAGGGCTTGGGGCCTCTAGGTGGAAGCCTTTCAAAGGGCGACTCTCTGGGCAGCCGCAACGCAAAAAGGCCCCGTTGAACACTCACCCGGAAAGGTGCACAAACCGTGCATGGCTAGATGTCAGCAGAGCGACGAATTAGGTAGGCGACTGCAATAACAGTAGCTTCAATCAGGTACTTCCAGCGGCAATATCGTCCGCTTGTGCGGGTGCTTGAGGCCGAAAAATCACAGATCCAAAGCTGGAGCCCAAAAGACCCCAGAGCTCCAGATCCCCTACTTGAAGGATCATGGGACTTAGTAAGTAAGGTTATAAGTACCTTAACTGGGGTTATAAGTATAGTTACCTTATTTATAACCCTATTTACTAAGTCCCATGATCCTCCAAGTATGAATACCTTGAACCTCCCCGAGCCCGGCCCCTAAACCCTGACAACCAAAACTACCCCGCAATGCGAGCTCGTCCTTGCGAAGTTGGAGGGGAGAAACCCTGAACCCTAAAAATTATGAACCTTCCCATTGCCCTGCTTCGTTACCAAGCAGGAGGCAAAATAAACCCTCAACCTCCCGGAGCCCGAAGTCATCAACGCAGGATCCGGCCCAGCACTACGACGACGCTGCTGCCTATCAGAGCGAAAGCTCGGCAGAGGTGTGCCGAGCTCTCGTCACTAGGGATGTGGCAGTTGTCCGAAAATAGGGGACCCTAATATTATACCCGATCCATATTATAGGGATCCCCGAATAAGGTACCCCTAATTTCGGAAACTCCCATGTCGGCAACCCTAAGCCCCTTTCAGGATGACAGCCTCATGTTCAGTCCAGCTTGTGGATTCGGTTCCTCCCTGCGGTGCAGGCCTCAAGGGAGGTTTTTCAGCCTAGAATTGTGCCGTGCCAGTCCACAGAGCTGGATGTTTCAAGAGCTTTGGGCTCTCCAGGTCTTGGCCTAAGCCCCTAAGCTTTCCGACCCTCTTTTCTGCCACCCTTCAAGTGCTTTCGGGCGCATGGCGCAAGAACGAGAAGTGGAGTTTACCGTGGTCGGACCGGCGGGACAGGAGGTCGGCAAGTTCTGGTTGGATTCCGCGTCCTTGTGTGGTTCTCTGAAGTTGCAGATCGAGGAGAAGGTAGGTCCTCCACCTGCGACGCAGCAGATCGCCATTGGAGATCGGATGCTCGAAGACACGGATCCTTTGCTGGAGAAGGATTCGGCGGCAGACTCCGTGCATGTGACGCTCTTGCTGCGGCTCCCTGCTAGCGGGTCCGGGCTCGAGGCTCTCTGGAAGGCTCTCCCTGGCGCGGGCGGATTCCTGGAAGAGCTCTTCATCTCCGATCATGGAGATGAAGAGCTCGTGCTCCCCGACCGCCGCATCCGGACATGTGGCCTCGACCCGGACTCTGGTTTGCTCCTGCTCATGCGCGAGGGCGCCGTGCCAGTGTTGCAAAGGACTCCCGCAGGACTTCCCGGTCCCAGGGCTAAGGCTAAGGCTGCCGAAGACCAAGGAAGCTGCCTGTCCGAAAGCGAGGAGGAGGTTCCCGGCCTGTGCAAGGGCAAGGGTAAAGGCAAGCTTATCAGCCCTCGACGCTGCCTTGCACCGGGATCGCTAATCATTGTGCGTTCCGAGGGCGAGCCTGTGGAGGTGGCCCTGGGCTTTGATCACCCGCTGCACTGCGACACGGAGATACTTGCAGTTGAAGCGGTGCAGGGCTTTCCGATCCCTTCCTTCGGCCTTGCCGTGGCGCGAGTATTTATTGGCAGCAAGGTGCACCTGATCTCAATGGAGCTATGCCCTGCGGCCATCAAGTGGCAGCGCTTGACAGCGTCAGGCACCAGATGCGAAGCTGCGTGCTTGGACAGGGAGAACCTGCGAACAATATTCGTTCAAGCGGGTCCTGCCGGGCGCGACGTGGTGTTCACACAGCTACGGGCTGCCAAGGCGCTTGAACAGATTGACAAGTTTCATTTGACTGGGGAGCTATCGGACAAAATGGTGAGCAGCGTTGCATGGTCAAGCACTTCGTCTTCTCTTCTACTTACCTTTGTTGGCGAGCATGCAATTCGGGTGTTCCGAAAAATCGGATCTGTTTGGCAAGCTGCTACCACACTTGGAGATCCATCACGGCGAGGTTGCGCAGATGGCGAGGCTGATCAGCTTATGTTTTGGTTCCCAAAATGTGACAACTTTGATGGAGAGCTGACATATTCTCGCCCGCTCATTGCAGGTCCGTCTGGTGCAGTTTTCGTGCACTCCGGTGGAGCGCTGATGCGCTTGGCGGCCAATTTGTCCTCTGCGATCAAAGCTACGTCAATGAGGGAGGAGCTCTGGATGCTGGACGATGATGAAGGTACCCCTGAGTATCCCTACCCTTACAATGTGTGCGGGGTTCATAACGACAAGATGTACAGGGCTTTGCGCCAGACAGACTACAGAGGGGGGCTCCTCGTTCGCCGGCTGCAACTGTCTCCAGATCTGAGGCAGGGCCGCAGTCGCATCCGAGATACTGCTCCGGCGCTATGGCCTAGCATCACTGAGAATCGCGTCATGGACGCTGCTTTCGTCGATGCTCAGAATCACATGTGTCAGAGAGCCTTGCGGCCAGTTCGCTATTACGAGGAAGACCGTGACAAGTGGGATGGAAACCCCCGGTGGCTGGGCGACGGGTGGCTTTGGCGGAAGACCGAAATTCCGGAAGACGTCCGAGTCACCTCTCTTGGCCGACTCACTGACTTTGCGCAGTGGCGGCAGCGAAAGCAATGGGAAGAGGAGGCGGAGGTCGGCTTTGGCAAGGGCGGCAAGGGCGGCAAGGTTGGCGGCTACCAGGAAGACCCTGTGGAAGATCCTGCCAAGGAACTCGGATACAAGAACCTCTTCGAAAGTGAGTGCCGGAGGCTTTCCGCCAGCTCGACCTAAGCCTTTCTGGAAGGAAGAGGGCGGTGGGCACTTCTCTGCGGACCCTACGCTTGGCAACTGCTCTGCAACATAGGGACGCTCGCAACTCTGTTCCTTCCTGCCCGCGTATCGCATGTGTAAAAACTGCTTCTTCAACACGAGGCTCAGAAACACCGTCGGCACTTCTTCAAACATCCCCTCAGACCGACGTTGGGGCTGTGACTCTGCAAACATGTTTGAACACTTGCTTCCACCCATCCTCCGAGTTGTGAGAGACTTAGGCTTTTGCAAACTAACATCATTACTTCATATTCCTGGGCATCCACACTCCAAAGCCGCCCACACCGCGAGGAGGAGCCACCTCTTTTGGAGTGAACGCCACGCGTTTTTTTTTGCTGAGTTTGTGAGGCATAATATAGTGTTTCGGTCCAGCTGTTCAGGCTTTCTGTCTTCGGGAATTGCGTTTGATTCTTGCAGTTGTGAAAGGTTTGGTGCAACCAGTGGGGTTTCTAGGATGTGGCGAGAAAGGGTCGCACAAAAACGCAGCAGATACGAGTGAGAACTGCCGTCCGTTATAAGTAAGGTATCTGTAACTATAACCCATATTATAGAGGACTTATCACCCCGCTTATAACTACCCATGAACCTCCCAATAGCAGTTACATTGCCCAGCTCTTGTTAGGGTGACCTGATTGACCTGATTGAGAGCACATGAACGGCTGCCAGCACATCTGCTTCGTTGACACGTCGTGACGTGCCCGGTCTGCGTGTTGTGACGAATGGACATTCGAAGGTTTCACACCATGTCTCCAAAATGTGGTATCTTCCACAGTGAAGTGCAGGCCACAGGTTTAAGCGAGTCTGTGACAGGAGCAGGCTGCCATGCTCATGCTTAGCCTACCCTTGACAATGAACACGACGCAGTGTAGAATAGGTTAGATCGCCACGTCAGGGCGGTTCCTCGAACTGCCCTAACCCCAAACCCTGCCTGGAGTGTCCGATTCCGAGAGCCGAAACCCGTGTTGAACTTGGTAGAAACCCACAAGAGCCCTTAAAGTCACCCTTGAGCATGCTTGAGTTGGCTGGGAAATCTTTCCCACCAGCCCGGGGCAAGGTCGGCCAAGCCATCGTTAGCCCTGATGCAAGGCTTCCGCTCCACCGCACGTTTTGAACCCTTGACATGAAACCAAGGGATACCAATAGCAGGATCCTTACTCAATGGCGTCTTCAAGCCAAAGAATTCACCAGCACAGTTAAGCAAGCCCCCGCAGATGATAGCCGAAGAGAAAGTTGTAGCGAAAGGCTACTGCCAACAAACACCGGCGAAAGAGTACCAGGGTTCGAAAGATCGGAAAAGCGTTGCTTATGCCCTTCATGCCGAGTAGGTTAGGAGCACGGGTTCTTGAGGTGCGCGAGAGGGGTCTCAGGAGGTGTTTTTTGTTTTTTTTTTCAAGAGTGGGCTTAACAAATTTGACAACCCACTAAAACGTCACTAAATGTGAACCCAACCCCAGGTTTTGCGGTATTGTTAGCGCCTTTATGGTTCGAATAGGGTTTGGGATATGTCATACAATCGTTGTTTTAAGGAGCCCCCAAAATAGTACAGGCAATTATTTAGGCCCCGTATAATAGAGATGCTAAGCCCTAAACCTTGGCGTTCGCGCCTCTCGAAGACCTTCGGGCTTTGTAGAAAAGGAGCTCAAAAAAAGACCCTCAAGAGGAGAGTAGATACAGAGAGGCAAGGACGTGGGAGAGGAGGCCTCCCTTAGGCAGCTGCTAGACCTAGACCTTCCAAAATCCCTGAATTAAGGAGTATACCTTAAATTATAATAGGAGCCCTAATATGAATTAAGGTATATTCCTTAATTAAGGGGTTTTGGAAGGTCTGGAGATTTGGCTTCCTGGGAGAGCTGAGAGTTCCGGAGTCCGCTTTCTCCGCTGCATGAGGGTTAGGGTTTAGGGTTTAGGGTTTAGGGTTACGGGTTTAGGGTTGAGGGTTTAGGGTTTCCGACAGTTCGGGTACGTCGGGGTACGTTCTATGGGAGTGTCCGAAAATTGGGGGGGGGGGGGTTTGTTTGGGGTTCCTTATGATAAGGATCCTACTATTTCGGGTGCTATATTAGGGTCCCTTATTTAGGGAAACTTTTATATTGGAGTTCTCTAAGGATCCTACTGCTTAGGGTACTATATTGGGGTCCCCTGCAAGGTAAGGTAGGGGCCTAACTATTTGCCTATACTATGTGGGGGGGTTCCTGTATTACAGTTGTGGTACAATGTACCTCAAGGGTATTCTAATTATTAAGGCCCCCTGAAGGCCCCCTCGACGAAAGGTCGGGCTTTCGGGGTCCACTCTAGGCTGCTAAGGGCTATCACACACCGTCTCAAAAAGCGCGAGCCGCCAGGGATGTTGTCGTTCCCGAGTCCGAATGAAAGCAAGCAGGATTGGGATTTTGAAAGCACTTTAAGACTTTAGGCTGAATGGGTTAAGCTTCGAGGGAGAAAGGTAGTGGCTTGGAGCCAGCCACCCGGAAGCACGTTGATGTGCAACACGCCAGCAGACGCAGAAACACTTCAGCAGTCCGGGAGTATTCTCGTCGTTTCTATTCATGAGAAGGTGATCGCACCTTGAGGCAGGGGCGGCGAGGTCCGCCTAACCTTAGGCCTTGGATGTAGAGTTGATGCGTCTGCGCGGGGGAGGCTGCGCCCCAAACGGCCGCCGCGCCTCCGTTTTTCCTCGTGGGGCTGCGCTGCGCGTCCCAATGGAGCCACAGCGTTTGTGAAAGCAAAAGGGCCGTGGATCTACCGCACGCAAGGGTTTCCTGGTAGTAGCCCAGCCCATTGTCATGCTCACAGGGCCATGCTTTCTTATAGGATTAGCGGGCTTGCTAGGCAGGCTTATAGCGAAGAGAAACATGGTTCTATTCATTCTTAGAATTAGAACCGTCCGAGGTACATATAGCCCGCTTGGCAAGTCCCTGGATCCTTTAAAGTATCTATTGACAGGAAGTGTCGGGAGGCGGGTGAACAGATTCCACGACTACAACAGTTGCAGCAGTACCCTAAAACCTAACCCCCCTAAGCCCTAAACCCTTAACACCTGAACTCTGAACAAGTGCTGGTTTATGGGGACCTGCGCAGATTGCGTGTCAAGTGAGTGTGAAGTAGTGAGACCAGGCATCGTGAAGCCTTGTCTGCGGCGAGCGAGTTGGGAGAGTTGAGGCCCCTTACAGTAGCGTGAAGTTGTGGTTTCTGCAAGATCCCAAGCTGCGCCAAAAAGAAGCCCCAAATCCAAAGCCCCAAAACACCGGAAACCCTTCAAGTCTTGACGCCCTAGGCCCCAAGAGCGCCGTAACCCTGAAGCCCTGCGCAGTCGCAGATGTGAGAGCCGATGTCCCGCAGTTTTCTGCTCGTTACTCCGATCTCCCGAAAGCCCTCGACCATGGCTCTCTCAAGGCTATCTTCGGCTTGTAGGGTTTCGGGTAAGAAGGGCGTTTAGAGGTTTAGGGGTTGAGGCTGAACCTCCGTGGTGCTCAGGCGTTCAGTGAGGCGATTGCACAAGTCCTGATGCAAAACGAGGGGTTAAGGATGTTTTGCCACAGGGGTTTCGGGTTGAAGGGAGTTGGGGGTTTCGGAGTTTAGAGCTTTAGATTGGGGTTTTCGGGGCAGGGGGGTGGTTCAGGAGCAGAGGGGTTGAAAGATTTCGGTGTTCAGGGGTCAAGGCCAAGGCTATCTGGGCTTTTGTTTAGGGTTCAGGTGTTCAGGGGGCATGCGGAGATGATAGAAGTCCCTTAATTGAGTGACGAACCTTCAACTGCGTGCGGGATGCCACCGTGGTCACGGGATTGACAAAACGCTTTTTGCTGGGTTTGGAGGCCGGGGGGGGGGGTTGGCTTAAGTTTAAGGGTTCAGGGCAAGGATTGGTTTTTGGCTTCAAGGGTTCCTTTCAAGAGGACAATATGGCTATCTTGGACTTTTGAGTGGGTCTGACTCATCTTTTCGCAGGCGTTCCGGGTTCCAGGAAGTCTATCAAGGCCTCCTCCTCATGCAGCAGGAGCTGCATCCCTGTTTCCTAATATGGGAGTTTCCGAAAATTGGGGGTACCTTACTTTGAGGCCCTTATAATAAGGATCCTACTATTTGGGGTACCATATTAGGGTCCCCTATTTTCGGAAACCCTCATATGGGGTCTCCTGTCTCCAGGGAACCTTCGACCCTTAGACTGAGGGTTCAAAGGAGGATCCCTTAGTGTTCGGGTTTCCTTATACTCCCTCGAAGAGAGAGAGTCCTTTTACTTACACCCAAGAGCCTCAGGAGTGGGGTTGTCGCAGAAACGGTACGTTCACATGAGAGAGCATGGCCAAAATCCTCGTCTGAAAGCTGTTTCCCCAGTGCATATCGCAAAGGATGCGGGCACGGCTGCCCTCCGTGGCAAGGCACCTCGCTCGGCGCGGCTTTCTGAGCTTAGGCTGCCTCTAACCTGTCGAGTGATTTCAGGGATGGTGCTGGGGTTTGTGACAGGCATGGGGTGCCCTGTCTCGGGGTCCGTACAATTATAAGACCAATCTTGTTGTTGAGGGTCAATACTAGGGTCTCTTGTCTTCTGAAACGTGATATTGAAGGACGCGGCAGTTGTGGAAAGGGTTTCGCATCAGAGGGATTTGCCTCCGAGATTCGCTGCCGGCCTTGGCTTTGACATGGTTCACCGTCGTCATGTCCAGCAGGATGTGTACGACTTAGGGCTCGGGGGAGTTGAACATGTACAGAAGAAGAGGACGAACAGCATCAGCAACAAGATGTGCGCTGGCGGTGGAGGCGGTGGTGGTCGTCGTCCTCATCGTCTTGGTCGTCCTCGTCGTCGCAATAACAGCGGCAGCAGCAGAATCAGCAACAAAAACAGGAGATGGCGAAGAGGGTAAGGGCCGATGTCAGTTTGCTGGTGACGATGTTGATGGCGAGCATGCTGTTGCTGGTGCGGGGTGACGTGAGCATCCTCCTCTCATCGGAAGCCTAAGCGGTAAACC